GCATCCACAGGGGCCTTGACTAGCCCCCACGGGTGGTAGGAACGGGTGTGCGCAAAGCGCCAATCCCACCGCGCCTCTAGCGCCTCACAAGCGCCCATTTGCATCGCTTGCAAAAGCCATTCAAGCCCATCATGGGTGGCACAACCTCGCCGTCAGACAAAGCTAGCAAGTTGGAGCTACTGAGAGGGGTGGGGGCAGCTGGCCGGAGGCTGGCCAAGTCAGCCGGGGTGCGATTGGGTGGGACTAGATTCCACTGGGTTGGCCCGAAATCCGGCCCTACCTGGCCCTGAACCTAGTCCATACCCGGCCCCGACCCCGGTGCACACCCAACCCAACCCTGGTCTACGCCTGGTGCTAGCCCGGTCCAATGCCGGTCCAAAAAAGTTCCCAGGAATGGACAAAGACCGGTTTGGACTGGGTGGACCAGGCTGGACTAGGACCGGGACTGAGCCTGGACAGGATTTGGGCAGGGACCGGGAAAAGATTGGCCCTGGTCCCAATCCCGGTCCTGGCGTCACCTCCCACAGCCCAACTTTGTCTGGAGGTGGACGTGCTGCTTGGGGGGTTGTTTGCCCTTCTTCCCCAGCTGGACGCTCAAGCGGGGGTGGAATTACCACCCCCGAATCCCCCACGCGGCTGGCCATGGCCGCCTTGGTTGCAAGCTTGACCTTTTGCACCAGAAGCTCCTTGCAAATGGTGACAAGCATCCTGTCAATCGTCTTGGTGGCGAATCCATTTTTGGGCTTGCCGAGGCAGATCTGCACTTGCAACACCCACCAAGATCCTTTGACGCTAGTGCTACAATGCTCGGCATGCACTTGGTGGAGTCATAGCTGATCGACTTGTTGCTCAATGATGGCAACTGAGGCATAGACATGTAGTAGAAGGAAATCGTGGATCAATGGAGGGAGACTCGGATGAGCGAACATATCCACAAGGATATTATGTAGTCGAATTGCCATGCGACCCTAGGAGCCCAGCTTGTGTACTCCTCGAAATAGCCAGAATTTGGCCCAAGAGTGGCCACGATGGTCTGGCCTTGACCATCTCGCAAATATCAAACTATGTTGGCAAGCCCATGGAATCAGGCCTGGCCACATGGTTGTTGACATATTGGGGAAGTGAGTGGGGATCGGAGACCCACGTGAGCTCTATTGGTCAGTCAGGGAGGCACTGGTTGAAACAAAGCACCTAAGCCTGCAACCACTGCTCAGCAGAATTGGGGTTCATATGGGAAAAGCTCGGCACCGAGGCCGGAGGGTTAAACCACTTTGTGGTTCTGGGTTGTGTCAAAGTTTTGGCATGAAGCAAGACAAGATAAAGGGGGGCACCAAGGGTAACGCCCAAATAGCCGTACCCACTTGTTTCTAAACCCCCACCAAAGCCATCCGGCAGATTGACTAATCCCCTTGTCTATGCTCATGTTACAATGATCACCCGGTTGCTCCTTGGACCCGGTAGTCAGAACTGACCCTGGTACAAGGAAAATGGAAACCGGTATTTGATGGCTCGGAAACGACCCGAAAAGGCCGCCCAGCTCAGAATGGCCGGTGCACACCCACCCGACGTCGTCTTTGACAGAAACTCATTAAAGAGATAGTTGGTTATGTTTCCTCACATCCTATGAACTTCAAGTTTTAAGATCATTTGTGCATGCAGATAGTTTCTGATTGGCTAAGCGACTAGTGTTCACTGTGGCAGTCCACCTTACAAGGAAAGCGAAGCAATTCCTGGCCATTCTAGGCATTCAGCGTGCTGACTTTGCTCATATGCAATGCTCAGCTCTCGCCATATGTCAATCATGTATTACTCAGTAAATGAAGAACCAACATAACCAAGGGAAGATGTTGTGTAGATTTTGATAATATCATATTATGCCAAGCTCCCCCCATCCCCCACCCCCACCACCCCACCCCTCCTACCGTCAGTCCTTAGGATGATGCTAGGATGGTTGGAAACATTACCAAATAGAGCGGTGATCTCAAGAATGACCAGGGACAGAAACTCTGCTGGAAGCGGCAGATCTGGCATTGGTGCCAGCACAATAGGCAACGTTGGACTTGTCACCCCGGCATTTTTGTACTACTATGTATTATTTGGCGGTGGTGAGAAGAGGGGCAGGTGAGGGCTTGGTTTGAGACAGAGGGCAATAGAAGCACATACCCATGAGATTTGTATGTGCATCAAGATTTGACATCCATACAACCGGACAATAGGAAACATGTGTCTCCACTTTGTCGCAAAAAGTGTCTCACCCCGCATTGAAATGATCTTGAGACCGGCTCTGATTTTGGCCACAATGGCTTGCCGCACACCCACCACTGCTTCCCCCACCATGCATAGTGTTGCCAGGATTGCAACATCTGGACATTGCCAGCATTGCAGCCCTGCTCAGTTTTTCGTTGCCTGTTTTTCCATGCAGAGACCCGTGCATCTGAGGCCATCAGGAGCTGTGAGCACTTCAAAGGCGAGGGCCGCTGCAATTGTGGCAGGTGCAGTGTGCATATATCCCTTTGGTGTGCAGTGCGTTTATTCGCACACGTTGCTTCGAAGTCATGCACGCTTGGAGCCTGGCAGGGTTCTTGTTTTTCAACAGCTTTGCATCTCTTTGAAGATTGTTACAGTTTTCTTAACCATTATAGTATCTCCGCATTTCAACGCTCAACTTTATGTTGCGATGTGGAAAGGTAATATGTGCTACAACATTTTTCACGAATTGTCAACGCACACCCGTACAGTCCGTTTAAATGCTCTCACCAATCATGGCAGCTACTCAGTACTCTGTGCAACTGCACAGGGGAGTCTAACCTGCAAGATGGACGACGAAAGGAAGCTCTGTAACTGGTAAATGGACATTCCTCTCTTAAAAGCTTGTTTTGTGAAATGCATGTGTGTGCCGCCAGGCTTTCTCCAACTCCATGCACTCCACCGAGCAGCATGCATATCGAATATTGGCATCGCAAAGGGCACAACATTCCTTCGCAGCCAGGATGATCATGACAGTGCTTATTGGGACAGCTTCCGTGCAACTACCTGGACTGCATATGGCCCAATCTCAATGCACAACAATGTAACCACGTATTGTAGTGTAGATAAGGAGCGTGCACTAAATCACCGCCAGTTACGCACAGCGTGGGTGTCACGAACATGGAGGACAAGGAGTAACTCAACTGAATTCCAATACCACTGACACTCCATCTGTTCCTGAGAAAACATGGATACCCACTTCGAAAAAGCCAACCTATGCCCTGCAGTTCCCAAACTGAAGGTTTTAATCTAGAGATCTAGAGAACAAGGATTAAACCAGTTTTCTGTTTTTTTTGGGCGGGGGGAGGCATGCAGTAGGATTATATTTCCGAAACTGGGCTTAGATGTTGGATGGATGGATATTCCAAGGTACCAGTTCCTGTATGCAGCAGGAGACGATACAGCTGGTAAGGGCACACCCCCAAGCGCCTTGATTGCATGGATGGCATATGGACCCATGCACCTGCCTCAGTGTCACAGGAGAAGCAAAGTCTCTGCATGCTCTGACATTGGCGCTGTTCGTGGCTGTGATGCACTCTACACTGCTGTTCATAACCAAAGAGTTTGTCAAGACAGCGATTGCAACGTACCAATGACTGTCCACGGTAGTTATACCAGAGACGAGGATGCCACGTGACTGCATGCACGTGAGTGACTTCTGCCCTATGCAGTGAGCGACAAGGCACCAGGACCCAGAACCAAAAGTGGTGGTAAAGGCAGGACCTGGAGGTGGGATAAAAGCTTGCACTGTTTTCCTGTAACATACGTCTGAGTGCCCAAGCCCCAGCTTGACGAACGAAAACAGCGATTTGGCACGGATGAAGCGCTGTACATTTCTGAAGGCCTTGTGGTTGTAGCCACTACTCTCAGCAGTGCAACAAGAGAGAAACGCGGATGGCAAGCTATGTAGCCCCATCAGGAGCAAAATGTTGGAATGGCAATCGGTTCCCATTTCAGACTGGATCAGATAACCCCTGCCAAGGCTGTGCTTTGTCTCCTTGGGGGCCGTTTCCATGTTTGAGATGCACCAGGGAGACCAAGAACATCACATCCAGACTGAAGTTAACCTGTGCACGGCGTCTTTTAGGTCTCCCATCAGCCTGAGGACATCACATTCCGTACTACATGCGCTGGGTCCTATTCACAGCTCATGGTGCATGGCCAGGTTCATCTACAGCAGGCGACACATCAGGTGCCCCGGCAAGGCGCAGGTCTCACGTATGACGGTCAATACGCTGCCAAGGAATTTGGAACACATCTAGTCTGCCCCATTCCATTTTCTACAGACTCCCGGGAGCAGCAAGCCGGCGACTGCCCCGCCACTCGGGGTTGGCAGGGCAGGCACGCTCGGCACGTGCGGCACTTACTCCCTGCAAGGGTTCGACAGAAACGTCCCCTGCCCGGTGCACTCTGGATAGCCCGCCCCAGGACGGCCAAGGACTGCAGGGATAGCAGGCCAAGGGCGGCCCGCGCACCGGGGACCAGGCCACCGGCGGCTCCTTCCTCATGCGGCCCCATCCACGTGAGAAGGGTTGCACCAATGACGTCCAATTGCCCGTGAATCCACCAGGAAACTCAGGCGATTTTCCGTACTCCCGCACATGTCAGCACAACATGGAGCATATCAGCATCCGAATGGAGCCACACCGGGGTGCCTCATGCGGAATTCGAGGCGTGCCCCCCATAGGGACCGCAGCCTGCGCCGCTCCAAACGACGCGAACCACCTTTGAAGCGCAAGGCGCCGCGGAGTCGCGCGTCCCAGCGTCGGAGCTCCTTTGCCCAGGCCGGTATGTCTTGGTCTCACATCCTGTGGTTGATGGCCATGTCGTGCCCGGTGAAACGGCGCACGTATTTCGGCTTGACGCAAGTCGGTTGGGCGGCGGGCGAGTCCGGCACTGTGGGCGCCCTTCGGTCTCGAATAACGCTGCCAGCCGCCCTGATTGTGCAGCCATGGTGTTGACCCAGGGTGGGCATGAGGGCAGCCCAAGCGTTGGCTGCTGGGATTGTCCTCTTGGTGGCGGCGGCCGACTGCTTCCCATTTGCTCCGCGGCGTGCGGAAGGTGAGACGCACAACCCCACTTTCCTCGCAGGTCGTTGGAGCGCCAGACTCCAGCGATACGACCTTGGCCCGATCGCGGTACAACTGTGACCACCCCGTATGAGAAAGGGCACAGGACCATTCAGGCCGCCCTTGTCACCGACACCACTCTGCGGGCCCAAGCGCAAGCCTTGACGCGCCGGGTTGGGGCTCCCCGCCCGGTCGGGTTACGCCGAAACGGCCAGGCAGCTCTCGGAATGGGCGAGGTGACCTTCGGCGGCCGGCGCAGCAACCCTGGCTGCCAGTGACGTGTGACACGGAGACCTGGGGAGAAGGTTGTGGGTTTGCAAATGCCAACTTGTGCTCGATGACATTCCAACTTTGATTAATTGTTGAGCAACTGCCCAGTTGCATGAATTCATATTGGTAACTGACCAGCGCGATTGCAAGACGGAGCAATCGCAGCCGGCACTTCTTCAGTGTCGAGGCAATGAAATTATGCAGCGGCTGCGCCGTGGTGCGATCGCACTGACGTTCTGATGAGGAGCATGGTGATTAGGCTCGGACCGCTTTCCAATGTTATTTTCTCTGTGCGCTTCAATAAGGACCCCTTTCTATGCGGCAGGTGAGAATCTGTCAAGAAAGGACCTGCCAGCGAGGCGCCTTGAACAGACTGCATTCATTGCAGTAAGTGCGGTCTCCCCTGCCCATGTGTTTTATGAAATGCCGCCGCATGAAAATCTTATTATACGCCTTCTTCTAGAAATATGGCAACCCGTTGTCTCTTTGCAAAAAACAGCGTATATGCCTGATGCTGTTTTGTCTCATGATGCTGTTATTGACCTGCACAGCTGGCTTGTACTGAACGCCAACAGCACCACATGCGGGGCCTAGGAAGAGGCATTCTCATGTTGCCAGAAAGCAATCGCCCCAGTTGGCGGATGCGCTCCTGACCTTGTGCTTTTGCCGGCACAGGCAGTTGCTACCTTTTCAACGTTCTGTTGCGAGTGCTTTATTCACTTGGGCTCCAAAGGAATGGAGCCTGCCAAATATTTGCCTGCGAGTCAGTATCCAAAAACTTGATACATTCATCTACCCGTCACGGCGAGAATTACTGTCACCAAGCCGGGGTCGAGTTAACTTTGTAAGTCCAGCTTCGCATGGTGAAAACAACTCCAACAGACCTTAAGTTCTGTTTCACTCAAGCTTGAGTCCCACGCGTCCTGGAAACAAGATCTCGGAAGACCGAAACCAATGCCAAAGGTGTTTTATGGGAATGTACGGTATTTGTGGCACTATGAAGCCAGGCATACATCGGCATGCTGTACCGCATCAAAGGCACGGAGGTTTTCATTTATAATGGCCACCAGGCGCTCGAAAATTCCATATGTTGCTCCACAAGCTGGACACCCACAGTTGCACGTAATAATGCATTGCATAATTCTGGAGCTGTTGCAGCTGGGGCAGCCCGGACCGCTATTGAAATCTTCATGCTGTCAACGCTGTTGGTATGAACAAGTCACTGTGTCAAATTAACTGTTGTTGGCAAATTTATGAATCGAATTCAGATTGCGTGCAAACGGGAATGTATGTTCCAATATTGTCGTTCTAACTAAGTGGCATCCAACTATGGCACTGTTACGGATAGAACTGATTGAGTGTTATTAATAACTGAGTGCATGAAAAGATGATGAAGCACTAGGCATTGCATTAAAGATGTTGATGAACGGATTGAATAGAAAGGACAGAACGTCTCTTGTCCTTTTGCCTCGGCTGTAAACCGTTGCCGTGGAATCGAGCGTACAATTCCCGTTCGGGGATCGCCACCCCTCGATCTTGCCTGCCTTCGTCAGCACTATGGCACAATTCGATGTGCGCCCACGTCGTTTGCAATGTCGATCAGCTCATGGGAAAATATCCACAGACCTGTCTAGACAGGCACGCACATATCTATGCATGCACAGATCTGCGTGTGCATAATCCATCAAGCATGGTATGTTTCTTTGGGTGGCGTGGTACTTTGAATGCAATGCTCATTAGCATTCAAGAATGGAATATATTGTTTCTCGTTTAGTGTCTATTCGCCAGAGGTCAGGGCCATTTCATGTATGAGGGTGAATTGTGGACTCTGAAATTCCATTTTACGCAATTGAGGAGTTTACGGAATCCAAATCGCGTCAAATGTGCAATGGCAGTGCTCAAAAATTTGAGGTCAAAATTAGCAAAAAGTAAAATTTATCTTCTGACTGTCGCATATGGGTATAACTTCATCAACTTGAAATCAGAGGAACGCTGCACAAAGCTGAACCAATGCGGAACCAATAATACAACGAACCGATAAATAGCCATTTGATTTTCAAGCACTCAGCAGTCAATAAGTAGATTTTGAATGCAGCGATGCGTATACGCAGGGAGGGGAAATTTCGCCATGCGGCCGCTTTCCATACATGGTGTCGTTGCGGGACAGATTTGGTATCCACAGGTGCGGTGGCGTGCTCGTGCACCAAAAATGGGTATTAACGGCGGCCCATTGCATTGACCCCAACTCTATCGTTTCTGCTGGAGCAACTCCCATCATTGCCATAGGAGCATGCAACCTGGACGACACGTCAAACGAGAATGGCAAAGTTGAGGTGCGGCCTGCGAAGATACGCTGGGCATTCAGATTACGAAAGACATTTTTCTGACCGATCTTTGAACACTTCCAACGTTTATGGGCTGTCGAGCGAGCTCCACAAATATACTGTTTAGTAAATTTTCATTGTAGGGTTCATAAATGCTGGCGCTCGGGCTGATATTTGAAGATTGCTGAGAACTTTGACGCGTTGTTTTGTTTTGCTGTGCTGTGCTTGCTACGGACGGAAAGCAGACGCATCCTCTCAGGAAAACTCGATGCAATATTTGATAACACATAATCGCTGGCGACTCCCACGTTGTCCAGAAACGCGTTGAGATAATTGAAGCATATGTTTGTTCATTGGCGAATACTAATATTTACTGTGTATGTACGTACACAAACAGTAGATCGAAATGTACCAGTTCTATCCGTTTTCACAGACCATGTGTAGGTGCTACATGAAAAGGGGCAGTACATCATTGCATTGTCATTGATTACAAAAGCATATACTTAGTGGAAGCAACTTGTGCTGATGTGTACCCTTTGCGAGCTGGATGTGCGCCCCCTGCACTGTTAAGATCATTTTGCTTTCCACTTGACAGAAGTTCAACGGCATTGGGAAGCTGCTCCTCGCTCGCCAATGCGTGTCATTTCTTCGAACGATTATAGCTTGAGTTGCGTAGACTGAATCAGGCTTGCTACTGGAGCTCTCTGCACCATATTTACGGCTACGCGTTTATATGTATATATGATTAAATGCCTGAATACCCATGTTTCGTGCGTGTTTATGCAAGTTTTCGCCCAACTTGCGCCAGGGCAACGATGTTACAGATCAGCAATGCCAAGTTGCCAGCTAGCCGTGTACTCGAACGTCCCCAGCACTGCGTCCACCTCCCCCACGATGGGGGCGAGGAGGTCACCAAACAGAGCGCTGTTGTTCCCATTGCGGTGCTTCCGCCCAACGCTTCACATTCTCCCTGATTCTTGAGGGTGGCTTTACTCCCATCACGGCTTTCAAGGTACACTGGCCTTGTGTGAAACCACGGGAAAGGAACATTCCATGGGTGGACAAATTGGGGTCAACCAATTGACCGCTGTGCTTGATCCTGGGTACAATGTGTAAATGGTGGATCCTAGACCATTAATTACAAAGCCAGAACGGGAAACCAGAAATGAGCAGCCAACTGACGTGTACATGAGCGCCAAAAGTTTCATTTATCTAGAATTATTTCAGTTTTTCAATCCCATTCACATTCCTAGAACACTGAAGCACAGGGCAAAGTACTACATATGGTTTTTAATACATTATACTTCAGTAAGTAGAAATAAGCTGGATAGTCCAGACAAGGAACGCGCAGATCAGTTGGACAGCGAACGATCGTCAGGTCGCGATCTGCACGAGTGCTGTCGTGACAAATGATAGACGTGCACTTGTGTCAATGTGCGTCGGGTGCAGCCATGTTCCCATGGTTCTCTCAACATGCGGTTTCATCCTTCTCAATTGGCATCCTAACCTCTTGACATTGGTTCAAACGGACGCAGCTTCGGACATCCCGGAAAACGTTCCTCCATCCTGGATACACAAGTGGCTCCGTTGAGAGTGGGTCAGACATCGCGCTGCTGAAGCTGAACAAAAAGTCCAAACACCCACCGGTGCTCCTTCCGACGGAGATCGACACCACCGTGAATGGAGCACAGCAGCTGGTGGCGCTTGGGTGGGGGCAGCAGGAGCCCGGGAGCTCAGACACTCCGAAGGAACTGCAAATGGCGACGGCGCTGGTAATTATCGAAAATAAATTTTGCAACTCGGACGCGGGGTGGGACGGCCTGATACAGGATTCGATGGTGTGCGCCTCCGGCTTGGGGAATGGCCAGGACGTCTGTTCAGGTGACGATGCACAGAATAACCGACGGAAATCGATTGCCGATGGGAAAGGGATGTGCGGCACTGTAGATCTGTCACTTTTGCTCTTTGCGCCGCCAATCCGAATCACTTGTATGTGCGGCTTACCGGCCTGCCTACTTTCCATTTTCATCCACTGTCGCTGCCCACAACGGATTGGCACCACCTGCATTGGATAGTACGAGTTCAATGCAACGGATCCTGTTTTCATGGTGAAGCTGGCGTGCGGCAATATATTGTCCTATATATGTAGTCCTTGCTGATCAGCTCTGCAGTTGTAGGAAATATTGGCTGCTCCCCTTCAGTGGCAATAGAAAGGTGCTCTCAATTTCGGAGGAAGTGGCAAATTTGGCCTGTATGTATGCGCCGGGGTTCTGGATGACACCAAAATGTTGAAGGTAGATACTTGCCTTGTGCAATGAAAGAGCGGCAATAATTCAATGGCGACTTCTCTTGTCAGGTTGTACCATGTTTGCCTGGTACTATGCGTACTATGTGCATTATGTGCAAGTCACGTCGACCAGTGCATGCCATTGTGCTTTAGAAACGATTCGGTGGAAATAATCGATGATATTTTCTTTTCTGAAGAGGCAAGTTCAGCTTTGTCATGAAAAATGTGCAATTTTGGCGCAGGCACTGCCGACGGCATGTGAATTTCACATGCTGGCCCTGCTCGAATCGATGTTCTGTCAGAACGATGGCTCACGCACCAAATCGATTTTGTCGCTGCCTTTCTTGACTGGTGTATATTGAGTGACGATCCCAGTCGAATCGGAAAGTTTCTTGTAATACAAGTTGAATTCGAAGTGGAAGGTGTACACAACAGCGCTTGAATTGTGGCATGAACGATACATTGACAAGTCATATACTCATCAAGATATGTTGGCCCAACGATAATTTTGATGATAGGACCACGTACTGTGGTATTCAAGTTGCGAATCAGCATTTTGAATCACAGTGCTGTCCGCTAATTTTGAGTATCTTATCGTCTCTGAAAATGTAAGTAGAGCTTCGCAACGCTAATACTTCGAAAGGAACATTGCTTATCAGCAATTCTTTAGAAGGTCAGATTTGAAGTGTCCCAAAAGTTTCAGGAATGCATCCAGCCCTTTTGTCCCCTTCGAGATTCACATGCACAACTGCTGCACCGATGCTCACGTACTAGATTCAACTTAAGGGCTCCCGCGAGGTTCTGTACTGAGCGTACAAAAACTAAAATGTTGCTTTACAGGCGACAGCGGCGGTCCCCTCTTAGAGACGTACGCCCCTGGAGGTAACATCGCAGCTGGGAGTCCCGAGTTCGACAAGGTGTTGGGCATCGTGTCATTTGGAGAGACGGACAGATGTGGTGACGCATTGAGGCCCAGCGTATTCACAAGAGTTGCAAGCTTCCGTATTTGGATCGACGAGACTATGTCGGTGAGGATTCATAAAACCCTTGCTTACGTGAGCTTCTTGGCTCGAGCAACAATTCCCACAGCCGCAAAGTTGCCCAACAAAATTGCTTTTCCAATTTTACTTCAATGCGTTGCTCTGACGAGCTTCATAACTTGCAACCTGGCATTGCGTCCTTGGGGCCTCCGGCAGCTCATGTCTGTTGCACTTGTCTCGATGCCTGTTCCTTGCATACTGTAGAGAGAGATGTGTCGTTGGAAAGCACATGGGCTGTTGATGCCATACCTCGCAACAGCAGGCAAAGGATCAAACTGCAGTGTGCTGAGACAGATACCCGCTTTTTGTGACCTGCGTTTGTTAAGAGCAGAAAGACAATTTGCACAAAAGAGAGTACAATGATATCATGTGTGCAACGCACAATCGGATGTAGTATGGAATCCATTCCATGGACATTTGCACTCATGCATCGATGCATGTTGTCGTGTATCTGTTGTATCGGCCTTATGCTTGGCAAATGCATTGCATGTGCAACGATGTTTCATGGGGCCATTCAGCGTTTGGTGCGGAAGATGGCAAGCGTGCGTATCGTAAACATGAGAAAGCACACTTTTCCATGCATACCATGACGAATAAAAATAAAAAGATTATCATACGTTTTAATATGTGATCGAGCGGCTTATAGTCAATTCCAGATAGCAGAGATGCTCATCATGCACAGTTGTCAGTTGTCATTGCTCGCATATGTCTCGCATCCCAACTGACGAGAAGCTCAATGCGCGTTCCAGGGCAAGAAAGCGCCTGCAGCCCCCTTGCCCCCAACTTCCCCACCCTCTCCGGTTCTCCCCTCTCGTGCCTCTCCCTCGCCGGAGCCTATCCCTCCAGCATCACCGCCGCCATTGCCACCACCACCCCTTCCTCCACCGCCGCCACCGCCTCCGCCACCTCCTCCATCTCCTCCCCCTCGCCTTCCCCCACCTCCACCTCTGCCTCCACCTCCACCGCCTCCACCTCCGCCGCTTCCACCTCCGCCGCTTCCACCTCCGCCGCCTCCACCTCCGCCGCCTCCACCTCCGCCACCTCCACCTCCACCTCCACGACGAAGCCAAGGGCAGCTCGATGCGGTGAGCACCTTCGCTTCAGCTGTGCCCCAAGTGTTGGCAACGCTTTTTGGCTTGTCATGGATCCGACAAAAGCAATGCAAGGGCACCTGTTTTGCACCCCCCCCTGGATTCTAAAGCATTCTGTTTCAGAGAACTGTTACCAAGAGATTCCCAGACTGGATTTTGAAAGCAAATGGTGTCGAATTTATCAGTTGCATTCTCGATGTTCATCATGGGATGCAGCGTTGCCCAGCTATTTTCTGTTGGGGCGCAGGACTTGATGAGGGAGGCCAGGAGAAATGTGACCTCCTCGACGAACACGACTGTCCACGACCTGCTTGCCGAGGGAGCGGATCCTAACGCATGCTGCCTCCCCACCGAACCGCAGCAGGGATGCCCCGTCCTCCACGCTACAGCACACACACCCAACGCCATCGTCGCGCTGGCCATCCTAAAAGCTGGTGCCAATCCACGCGCAACCTGCAGAGATGGATGGACGCCGCTGCACATTGCAGCAGGAGCCAATTCTGTCGATGTTGGGCGGCTCATTATCGAATTTGGAGGGAGCGTTAAGGCAAGGAACGATTTCCAGGAGACGCCGCTGCATTGGGCGGCAGATCGCGGCAACGTGGCGGCATCGCGATTGCTCATTGACGAGGGCGCCGACATCGATTCCCAGAAGGAGGACGGATTTACGGCCTTGCACTTTGCCGCGTTCAGGGGATTTGTGCCACTGACTGAACTGCTGTTGGCAAATGGTGCAGACAAATGGGTCAGGAACGACAACGGGCAGGCCCCCGGAGACGTTATTTGCGGAGACGCCCTTGGTTGTTCCGCCTCCACGAAGAGAGCTCTGGAAGATCTTCTGTTTTGAGGGCATGCCGTCGTGCGGCTTCAAATTTTGCTTGCTCATGTTGACTAGAATCTGTTTTGTTGGATGCTGTATAGTGTACGATTTCATCTGAACGAAGTCGCTGTAGCTTATGCGAATTGAGGAACTTCATCATGCAGCGAGAAATCACCCATGTGTATTTCATAACTGCGTGGCTCGAGTCGCGCTGTCTTGTAAAATCATTTGTCGATGAGGAAGCTTTCTGTCATCGGGCCCCCAGCATTTCTTGCTTACAATTCGTTTAGCAAGGCACAGGAACGCCTGTGGACCTCTCCGTACCTTGAGGTTAGTCCGTCCTATCATCGGCATTATTGCCGGTGCTGCCGCCTCGACCACCACTGATTGGGAGAAGGGGATTGCTGGCTGAGCACCTCTCGATGCATCACGCGTGCGCATTATGCATTCCCTTCTATGGGGGTGCGGTGAGAATCGGCAATGGCGAGACGCTTCACACGCGCTGGACAATCAAACATTCGATTACGTGGGAACTGCGGCACTTCACATGATGGCAACGGCGCAGTGGGCTGCATTTCAATTGTGTTGCGTGTGGCCGAATGAATGCCCGTATACGCAATGACAGGTCATCAGGCACATGAACCCGTGGACTTGACCACAAAGAGTTCTCGCGGACAGCGATATGCATGTTACACAAGTCGCTGTCCTTAATATACACAGCAGAGACCAGGGTCCCAGAAGTGGGGCGGAACCGGCACAGTGGCGGATCAGTGACTTCCGCCACCTTGCAAAGGGCGACAAGAGCTCAGGAGCCAGGGCGAGCTACAGTGTACTGATGTACGTCATTGACAATCTGGAGTAACTGAACCTCTCCACAGCCCTGAAACGGACCACATCTTGTGGTCTGAGTTGCTGCCCGGCAAGGACTATGAGAAGCACTGTGACTGCGTGATGGACAGCTGGGACGTCTGACAATGAGAAATGCAGCGGGAAAAGTTCCGCGGTCAGTGTCAACGGGAACAGCTCACCCCTCCCATGGGTCCAATCTGCTCATGAGATTCACTCTCGAGAGTGAGTCCCAGCATGAGCTCATGCTGGGACCTGGGGACCTGCATAATGACACTAATCGAAGACATTTTCTCAATTACGCACATCAAGGAGCCCGTAACGTGATTTCCTTGTGGAAGACGCTATGTCGATTTTGGTATGCTTAGCTTCAATTTGACGTGAAGCTTAGACCCCACCCACCCCCACCCCCACCCCCCGCCGCCCTCTCTTAGCTTCAATCCTTATGTAGAAGGTAGGATGGCCCAGCTACGTTACCTAACAGTGACATACAACTTCTAGGCGTGTTTGGGGAAAAATGGTAAGAATTGCACTGATTTGGTGGGCTGAAAAATAGGGTTTTAAATGTCATTTAAGGCAAGGTGAGCAGCATGAATGGCTGTAAATTGATACATTGTAGGGGTTTCCTTGAAGATTGAACACTTGAGGTTTACAAACATGCCATGAGTTGCTAGTTGCTGATCAACAGCGCCTTGGGGCAACCTTCCACTTTATGTTGATTTTCTGTCAATTGCATGCCTTAGCGTCATGACGCCCGGGGGCGACCAATGACACCACAGGTCGCCCCCAATCCCCCCGCCCAGCGTCAAATTGACGCTAAGTGTACCAAAATCAACATAGTGTCTTCCCTCACCGGGTGTTGACATGTCTAGTAAAAGGTGCCCCTGCCAGTAATGGGGTGTGTTCATGAACCGATGGCAGGCCTAATCAGCTCATCAGTTTGGCTACCAGTTTGACGCCACGTGTCATGACGTATAGGTCATTGCATGCGACAAGCCAGCCCACATAGCAGAACCAGGGTTCATAGCCAGCTACCCTTCGACTGCGGGCCAGCGTCAGATGCCCTCGCCAGGGACGGTCCGCACCCACGATCTATCCTGCATTATCGAGGGTTGTTGGATCGCAGTGGTCTGCAGGCCCGTGTGAATTCTGCGGACGGCACGGAAGCAAAGTGCGACACATATGTGCGCTGCTGGCCACGGATCGTAAGCAAGTATGGCAAACACCTCTTCGGTAGCCCTGTCCGGGATGAACAACGGCGCGCGAGACATGGAGCAGCGCACCGGTGTATTCCGCCCTCGCAAAATTGGTGCGGATTTCACAGGGGGTTGCAGCAGCAACGAAGCTATCTACCAGGCCTATAGGCTGAGTTCAGTCCGACACACTTCGGCACAGCACGGTGAAGTAAAGTCCTTATCAGCATTGGAATGGGGCACGAATAGCGAGCCCCATGAGCGATTCGGGGATCACAGTCTCTGCCTAGCCCACAAAGGGCCGCGGTTCGGGGCGCTCGAAACAGCGTTGAACAACCCGTTGTCAGGCAGTTTTCTGCTCAGTCGTTGGTTGCAGAGCTGAAGATCTTTCGTCCTTGCCAGTGTGCGTGTCACCATGTTGCTCGCGCTCCTGTGGTTGATGGTCGCGTTGCCAGCCGCGACGCCCCAGCGTCCACTGGTAGAAAACGCCATGTTTGTGATGCCAACTGCGATGCCATTTTGACACAAAATGATACCATCACAGTGATTGCGATGGCATAAAAAGTGGCTGTGATGGCATCAATTTGTGTTAAATTGGCATCGCAAGCATGCTGTTTTCTACTAGTGGTCGGCGAGCCTTCCATCGCGAACGCCCTTTTCAGCTTTGTGTAAGATTGGAGGCCGACTTGACTTGCAGAGCCGCGCCGCCGTTGGGACATGAGGGCTGCCTAGGCGTTCCTTGTCGGCCTTGTCCTCTTGGCGGCGGAAGCCGACTGCCTCCCAGTTGCTCCACAGCATTCGGAAGGTGAGGTGGCCAACAACGCGTTCCTCGCAGGACGCTCGAGCGCCGAGCTGGAGCCCTGCGACCGTGGCCGATCGCGGTGCGGTGGTGAATCCCCAATGTGCGAATGGGCACAGGGCTGATTAGGTCTGCGCCGTGCTCAACGACACCACACTGCTGTCTCCACGTGTAAGAGTTTGGCACGATGGCTTCAGCTCGCCTTCCGTAGCCTCACGCTGAAGCGACTTGGCAAATCTCACTGGTGGGACAAGTGGCCATCAGCTGACTCCGGAGCAGCTATCCTAGGGTTACGGAGGCCAAGAGTGACGCAGCGACCTGACGGGAACCTGCGTGATGACGCTGGCGAAACGTCCCCATGAATGCTGCCAATTTCATGAACTTTCCAAGGCGCAGTCTGCAACCTACAGCAGCAGAAAACGCCACACATGTGGTACCAACTCCGATGCCATTCTGACAATAATTGGGGCCACCATCAGGATTGCGATGGCATAAAGGTGGCTGTGATGGCATCGATTATTACCAAAAGGCATCGCACTCAGCATCTCGATAATGTCGTTTCCGATTGGTGCTACGGACGATGTCTGGCAGCATCTGCGCAAGACAAGCCCGCTACGGACGAAATAGTTTTGAGGAGCATGTGGTGCATAGCCGTGATTGTAAAAATACACCGATATGCACACACAGGAGGGTCGACGATGCGGGAGGGGGCGCCGTCGTCACATTGTACGGCCCGGAATCGCGATTGGGATGTGCGGAATCTGTGGTTCGGTGCGTGGCGGGGCAGCTCCCTCCTCCGTCACCTTCCATCTATTTTGGCGTGGTAATCTCCGGGTTTCGGTCTTAATTTGGTCTTGAGTGTTGGCTTTCCGTGTGATGAGCATCTTCTCTCGCGCTGCTAAGTGAACCGTCCATCTCTCCGTTTTGGCTCCATTTGGTCAGCTGGTGGGACCCACGCTACTTGGCTTTTTTTCCCTCAATCTGGCTTTAATTGGTTTTAGGTTCGGACTGTTTAGAGTGAGTTCCTGAGCACCCTCTTTAGCTGTGGGATGATCATCCTTTCTGAGGGACACGGGACGTTTGGACACGTTTGGACGCTTGGTTTCAATCGCCCTGCATCGCATTTCTTGTGAATGGACAACGATTGGTGGACCAGGGACAATTTCTCACTCTGTTTGTAATAATGGAATTTCACACACAGGAGGGTCAAATTGCGTCATGCGGGGCTTTTCAGTTCATAGTGTCGTTACGGGACAGATCTGGTGCCCGTAAATGAGATGGGGTGCTTGTGCACCAAAAGTGGACCTTTAGAGCTGCCCATTGCGCGGATCCTGTATACGTCAATTCTGTTGGACCAACACCCATAATTGCCATAGGATAATGCAATATGGACAACACGTCCAATGAGAATGGTGAAGTTGAGATGCGTCTTTCCAGCGACAAGCGTGTATGACATAAAATTGGAGGGATTCCGTTCTGGTTCAACCGATGCTGGGCCTCAATCTATGCGTTTGTGTGCTCCAATAGCTGCGCCGGAGTTGCCTGAAGAAGATTCATCAACTTTGAGGCTCCTGCTGCATTTTCCAGACTGCCCATCATATGTGCCATATGTGCCATTGCCCTCGACACCAAAAGGAAGATGGAAAAGTATATGCCGACACTTTTTCATTTCTTTCCATGTACCATGCTTGTGCGGTGTGGCCAGAACTGCATTGATATTTCAATGTTTGGATTGCCAATACACGGGAGCGAGCGAAGTCAAGGGTCATTGAGATGTCACGCGTATGCCGTGCATGTGAGCAGTTTCCCCCGCTGTTGAGTGTCTCTATCAGTTTGGATACCAATAGTGTGACTAAAGGATTCACTGGTTGCAGATGTGTATCAGAACCAAGCCACAATTCCCATGGATCTGCTATTCAGGAGAGAGACAGGCAGAGCAGGCTATCCAGTCGAATGATTTTGCAAACCAATTTTTTGATATGAAGCAAATCGCCTAGTGGACTAGGAGATGGAGATGACTGGATTGGTTGAACCGATTTCCAGATCTGATTGATGCAACACCTTGTTGCTCGACCTGCTGCCCCAGGCAAGGACTGCGCCAAGCAGTCTCACTGGGTTCCGGCAGATGAGTAATCTGATCACGGGAAATGAAGTGAGGAAAGTTCTGTGGCAATTGCCGAAGTGACTAG